AATTGCACTTGTCACCAGACAATGAAGAACACCTTCAAAGACTATGAAACTTTCTTGTCCCAAATGATTACAACACAAACATTCACTTCCTTTACTTGCCGGTGCTACAAAAATGATAACTGAATTGGGTATGTATGTGAAACCCATTATTCTGCAAGGTATTAGGCTATGGGATTTCAGTAGAACTTTATACTTGGAGTTGGCAAAACTATACCTTGCTTGAGCAGAGGGAGAAGACTAAATTGTTTCTTAAATAACAAGATTTGAAATTTCTTATTTGTATTTTGTGACATTTGAGGATATAGAAATTGTTATTAAATGACATGAAAGAATAGAGAAAGAAATGAATGGAATCTCTTCCTTCGTATTATTCTTTCCCATTATCCTTCTCTCGTATTCTGTTCAATATCCATTCCTTACATTTTCTAGTTCTACTTTGGATAATAACTCTGATCTAATCTTGAGGCTAAAATTTCAAATAATTTCTATTATAAAGTAGTAAATAAATAATACTAATAATAGCCATAATTATAATAATGATTTTTTTAAGAGAATTTAAATTTAATTGCTATCGAACCTATTGATTAATACTGCTTCCATGCATCTCATTATTGAGTTTGCTTGTCCTCTAGTTAACCCTTGACCTTCCAAATCCTTAACCACTTTATATGTATTGAAATTATATTGCGTATTACTTTCAGGTTGTAATACAAATGGGTCTGTTTGTTGTGTATTATTTACTGAAATTATATTTTTTGTCGATGTTGGTGATTTTGATGTTGTATTATTATTAATGTTGTTGATGTTATTGCTATTATGAGCTGATGATAACCTTTTGAAATTACTTTGTAAATTTACAAATTGATTCATTCGGAAAGCAAAAAATGTTCGTTGTGAAAAACCTATTTATAAAGATAAGAATTCCAATCAACATAAATAAATGTCTAAAAAAATCAATGAATTTTAATAAATTAATTACCACGAATACCACCAATTGTAGGTGATAATAAACGAAATGCTGTTAATTTCAAAGACATTAAGAAATATTTATGAATTTTGGTGTGGAACAAAATTATCGGTTACAATAGAAAGATGATCTAATAAAATTTTTAGGTTTTAGTGTGCGCAAAAATTTTTAAAATATATTAATATGTATATATATATATTTACCTAGGAAAATTTGATTTTTTTTACCTGTGGGTTGTATGATGATGAAACTTTTGACTTTTAGTCACCGATGTAACTAAAGTATTGGTGATATCTCACCAAAATCAGCAAAAAATAATGACTGAATGAGAAATTTATCGATCATATCACGTGACTTTGACTTAACAGAATTTACATATTTTTTACCACTCATCACAAAATTTGAAATTTTCATTTTTAAAAAAATTATGGGGATGTTATTTATAGCAAAACTAGAGAGCTTCGCAACCGTACAAAAGTCAAAAGGTTTTGCCATAAGTTGAAACTAGTTTTGACATATAACTTTTAATTTTAGTTTTGACTTTCATCTCTTCAAAATAGTTTTGGCGACCAACACTAGTTTGAAAGAAGGGCCCAAAAAACCAAATCGGCTGATATGGTAATTACATATTACCAGAAATTTTCCCATCACTATTTTTTGTTAATTCATGTTGTTATATATTATTAATATTGGCTGAAATATATAGAAATCAATCGTCCATCACGTCACTAAAATTTATCAGCAAGTATCAAAGTATCTGATTTGATTGGCTAAATCGATTTCGTCAGTTTCGTCATTTCGTCAATTTCGTCAAAAGATACTTGGTGATAATGATAAATATGATAAATATTGAATTTCGTCATGTATAATTTTGTCAACCATTTTTAGTAGGGAGCGCTACCTTTCGTGATGCTCATTGGGTTTAGGTGACTTTCCTTCTTCTGTAAGCTTTTCATTATCTCTTTCAAATTTTTTTACAACTGCCAAATGTTCCCTTTCCATCAATTGCTTCTCATGCTCAATTATCTATTCCTCTTCCATGTCCGATTCTGGTTCAAATAGTTGAGGCTCTCTCTTTTTTAATCTGGGCTCAAGATTCAACAATTCCATTTTACATCTATTTCTTTGGTATTTCAAAGCATGAACCTAACATATTAAAGAATATATACATGTGAATTTATTTAAGAAATTAACAATAATCATGATAAAAAAAAATTACCCTATCGTTGATTCTATTGATTTGATTGTCATGATCTTTGCTGATGGAATGTTGATGGTTACATAAAATAACAACCTGTCTGTTTGCTTTATTATATGCTGCTATTTTCTCTGTTACAGTAGTAGCATTCTCCATCCCTTTCTTTAGCTCAATTTGGAAGGTAAAAGATGCATTGTATGTACAAAATACTTTGATGGTTAGCCCTTTCATGTATTCAGACAAATGATTATTCAAATCTTGAGTCTAAATGAATTTTTAAAGAAAATTTGAATTTATTAATAGAACAAACACAAACACACACACATATATGTGATTGATTAAATTTAAATCTTGTATTTTTGTACCTCTAATCTGTTAAATAACTCTTTGCTGGATTCCTTATCCTTCATAAATATTTTAAGGTTTTTGAAAACTTGTTCTATTACTTCTACTGAGTTTACATATTTTATTGAATTTTTACCTAAGAAATCAAACTCAACTGTCCTTGGTGGTACCAAAGTAATATGTTTACATCTGAGGGAACAACAACCCACAGTATCTGCTTCTTTGCCAGTTTTCTTATTTCCTGCTCTTAATGCAAGCTTGTCAATAAGATACATGGCAGTAGCACGTTGACGAACTAATTGAGTTTATCTTTTAAATCCTGTGTGTAATCACAGCGAATTTTTTCTAGGTGCTTATCAAGCTCCCTTGCTTTATCAAATTTTTCCAGGTCATTTTGACCTTTAATTTTCATTTTTTTTTCTTTAAATGTATTAAAGAAACTAGAGTAACGACAAGTGGCACCACCATCCTTATTCTTAAAACACTTACTCAGCAACATTAACAACAAATTCTTGTCTTCTTCTTTTATTTCCTAATGACATTTTTAAAGAAAATTTTTAAAAAAGAAGTTTGTTATTTAATCGACGCGTACACATTAATTATTTATCCTATGGTTTTTTTTTTTGGTAGGACAGACACGAATTGTTTTTTTTTTTTTTGGAAAAGCAATTTATTTTTTGACAGAGTTCATGGTGACAAAACGTGAGTGTTGTTGTATGGTTTGGTTTGGGTCTAAAGAAAACGTGTTAATAACTAACCAGAGGTACTTTTTTTTTATTTGTATTGATATGTATGAGGTGTCTTTTATTTTAGCTTATAAATATTTTAGTTGGAAATCAAAAAACGAAGCAGATCTTGCTGGGTAATTGCAAGATTTTCATTGATAATATTTTGCGTAATCGTAATAATAATAATATTATTATTATTATAATTACAAGATGTCAAGGCAGCATTGACTGTTGAAAAGGAAACATTTCGAAATGCGATGTTTGATTATCGGAAATTGACAAGTGTTGAAGCACGCACACCACCTTGAACACATTACAGCCATTCACACGTTTCTCATGTACAAAAGGCTAATCTAACTAGTGTGCTCCGATGATACAATGATGTAGCTGAATTTTCAGGGGGGACGTGGTTCTGGAGTTTACCAAAACTGCATCAATCATCAAGGATATTTTCACTAATCTTCACAGACCAGAGAAGGCTGCCATGTTAGACGAAAAGTCACCTGCAATGATCCTACCTCTAGGGTAAGGATGGCTCTGTGACCAAGCTGTCACAACTCTGGAGGAATATTAAGAGAATCTGCAACTTGTTTCAAGAACCAGGAGGTTACAATTCAGAGCAGGGTTGGTAGCCCTGAAATTACATTTTGGCTCTGATGTTAAGAGGAAAGTTGTAAAATAGTGTTTGTTTTGTATAATCATTTTCATAAATTTCCTGTTTCTCTCTAATTTTTGTTGAACAACTGAATTTGTTGCTTTTTTAAATGGGAACTTTTGTCCATATAACTTCCCACCCTAGGTTAAAGGAGTGTAGCTCAATGAGAGTATGTATCTTACAAGTATAAAGATGGCAGTTTGATTCTGCCCACTCCTATTGTGATAGTCACCATGATCACTGGAATCAAGGAGAAAGCTGTAAAATAAAATGGTTCAGATTTTGTTTGGTATGTTATAAATTAATCATTTCCCCAAATTTTCTGCATCTTTTTAATTTTTATTTGACCAACTGAACTTGTTATTTAAATGGTGTAGGGTTGTTGGTGAGCAGGAATGCCACTGACAAGATGGGAGATGCCTTTGAGATATACCAGCCAAACTTATAGAAAGTGATCTTTTGTCCAGACTTAGGGTCACATGGATGTTAAGCACAGAAAATGTACAATATCAATGTATATTTTTTTCAACAAAATAAACATTTAAATAATTAATTGTTAAATATTAATTAAAGACGTTAGCTGAAATTATTTCACTTAGTAAATGATCATCACCGAATCTGAAATGCCAAAATATTTTTTCATAGTTGCCAAAATTAACTTTATTAATTGCCGAAATTATATGAACACTTTAACTCAATAGCCAAAATTCTGGGTAGTTTTTTTATGTCCATCATTATGAAAATATTGTAAATCCGAAATTGTCTGCCAAAATTGATTTTTTCAAAAACCATTTTGGCTAACATCTTTAATATTAATACTTTTCTTTTTATAAAAATTACAGCAACCCAGGACTCAACTCTGAATTCAGGGAAAATCCAAAATAGCAATCCAGGTTGCAACCTTCTGAGTTGGAGAAGGTGCCAACTTTTATGCTAGTGTGGCAATAACATGCAGCAATAATCACACAAGTGTTGATATTCATCAGTGATCAATGCCAAGCCTGGTCTGAGAGGAAGATAAGGGAATGTTTTGTCCAAAGCCTTCCAACTTGTTCAATCTGCTCATACTTGTGGAAAAAATTCCATGGTGCTAAGGATGTGCAATTGCATTCGCTTGCATGTTTGTGATAGGAAATTTTAATTAAATCTGACACCTGCAATCAACATCAGATTTATTATTCATAAGGAACCATAATTGATAACCAGGAAAAATAATTTCATTTTTGCATGGCCTTGGTGATGCAATTGTTTGTTATGTCAATGATGATATCAAAATGTATTGAATAATAATCATGACTATCATGAATATTTGATGGATGGAGGCATTCACATGATTAAATATCTAAGTCATGTTTGTTTTATTAAAGACATGTGATTAATTATATTTAAAATATACAATAAAAAAATTGCAAGACTGCACCACTATGTCAATAAAGCTATCAAGCTGTTATGTTTGTGCATGATTTAGAATTCTTTTGTGCTCTCATCTTTCTTTGCTTATATATAATCTATTGGATCTCTTTTTACTGGTCAAATGATGCCAAATTGGGTAATGGGGTAATGAGGTATCAGCAAATATCAGAACCTGATCAAGGTATTAGCATACTGATAAGTTAATAATATTTTTATCATATAGTCTAAAAGCCTATTTGTAATTAAATTATTGGTTAAATATTTCTAAAGCTTTTACTAAAATAATATCATATCTTGAGTAGCAGTTAGGGTTTTCTATTCAAATGTTTATTTGAATAAAACAAATAAAACAAATAAAACAAATAAAAATTCAAATAAAAGCATAAAAAGCATATAAAGCGAAGCTTGTATTATGAATAGAAACTGTGCATTAATACTAAAATCAGAAAACAACAATAAATAAACAAACAAATAGCTTTTATTACGAAATAATTTAATTTTGTTCCTTTGGTGTTAATGATTGAATTGATCACACAAGCAGTAGTCAGTTTAAACAGCATTGTTTTTAAAGAATTTATTCAAAATATTTATTTAAATGTATAAAGTTTAATTATTTTTAATGTTGCAAAAATTTTTTGATACATTAATCTCAGTCCATATTTATATACTTTAAAGTTTCTTTATTTCTTTTTTTGATAAATAATGAATTTATCCATTTGTTTATTTGTTTT